AGATTTACACAGCAAAAATTTTCCTCTTAATAATGAGAAAAAGTACTCTTCTACAAATACAGGAAATCCAAGAGGTTACAGCAAGTACCTCTTGTTTCCCAAACCACCAAAGCCAGTTGCTGTCAAGTCAAGTCTGACTCATGGCAACTCCATGTGTGAAAGAGCAGAACTATGCTTCATGGGTATTTCAAAGGCTGACTTTTCGAAGTAGATCACCAGGCCTTTCTTATGGGCACCTCTGGATGGACTCAAACTTCCAACCTTTTGGTTAGCAGCTGAGTGCATTAATCTTTGCAACATTCTGGGATCCCAAACCACAGGAAGGCAATTTTCAGAAACCTGTTGAAAGGTAAGTTGTACCCTCTAATTTCTAATAGATGAAATAAGACGACTCATAGTGACCCTTGCAAACAGAGCAAAAATGGCCATAGGGTTTCCAAGGCTGTAAATCTTTACAAAAGCAGACAACCACATCTTTCTCCTACAGAGCAGCTGGGGGTTCAAATCACTGATGATTTGGTTACCAGCTGAGTGCTTAACTACTGAGTTACCAGGACTCCTTTAAGGAATCTCAAGCAGAGCAATATGGTAAGCTTACTATGTCGTGAATGTCCCTACCCCGTCTCTCTGATCATTTACAGCACTCACTGCATCAACCATTATCATGGAATTCTCTGACATGTGTGATACTCCAGAAGGTTTCTGGAAGTTTGTGGCAGGAAATGCTAATCCTCTCTCTTCTCACTAATCAGAGATTTCCAATACAAGCCTACAAATTCCTTAAAAAGTTGGAATTAGAAATACCATTTGACCCAACCATTCTATTACTATGTATATATCCTAAAGAGTGAGCACGAGGACAAGAACAGATATGTGCACACCCATGTTCATCACAGAACTATTTATAATAACCAAAAGATGGAAACAACTTAGGTGTCCATCAACCAAAGAATGGATAACCAAACTATGGTACATACACACAATGGAATACTATGCAACCCTCAAGAATAATGTAGAATTGGCAAAACACCGCATAATGTGGATGATCTTGGAGGACATTATGCTGAATGAAATAAGTCAATCACAAAAGGACAAATATTGTACTAGTCTATCATTGTAAAAAGTCAAGGAAAGGTTTATATATGGAAGGAAATCATCTTTGTTGGTTTCCAGGGGTGGGAGGGGAGGGGAGGGAACATTTAGATAGGTAGAGACAAGTATTGATTTGGGTGAACAGAAGGGCAATGTACCAAACGGAAATTATCAACACAATGGTAGTGAGGAAAAGGAAGACACAAAGAGGTACATGGGAGGTACAGACAACAAATATGAACCCTTTTGCACACACAGTACTATGTTGTCAGTGAAGGCAAACATGGATATATGAGTGGATAGATATGGGACAGGCTGAACTATTAGGTATGTCTATGCAGGGGGAAGTGTGCCCAAGACCACGCATAGGGTTGGCAGACAATGTTTCTACAAGTGTATTGCTATGTTCTGCAAGAATTCCCAGGTATAATAGAGCTGACAAGGGACAAGGTTGTAGTCAATTCTTGGCCACAGCCAGCTATCCAGAGGGACCTGTGGGCTCAGTACCACGGTTGCAAGGGACATCAAGTTCAATTGGCATAACACACTACACAAAACACTATTCCACCTCCTACTTTGGCAAGTAGCAACTGGGATCTTAAAAGCTTGCAAGCGGCCATCTAGATGCAACGAGTGTCTCCTCATCCAGAGCAAAGAAGAATGAAGAAAACCAAAGATTCATGGAAACAATTAGTCCAAGCAACTGGTACACCATGCAATCCTCAGCCTATACGACTATGAGACCAGAAGAACTAGATGGTGGCTGGCTACCATGTCAACCACTCAGAGGGGGATCTACATAGGAGATCCTGGATAGAGTGGGAAAACAATGTAGAACAAAACTCAAAATGATTGGGAAAAAAAAAGGGGGGGGGGATCAGGTTTGCTGATCTGATATAATCTTATGGAACTACTGAAATTATGGCCCCTAGCTGCCCTTCAGGTCTGGAACTGAACCTACTCCTACAAACAAACGACAGGCATATGAGCTAAACATTTACACTAGGTAGATACACTCCTTGGAGAGAACAATCATGGGAGAATAAAAGGGCCCTGTATGCACAGGGAGACAGCTCAGGGGGCAGGAGTTCATGGAGGGAAGGACACAGGGAAGAGGTAACTATAGGGAGGAAGTGGGAGGGGAGGTTTGTTGCATTGTGGTAATGTAGTCAGTGTCATTAGACAAAGTGTATGTGAGCTGCTGTATGGAAAGTAAATTTGTTTTGTAAACTTTCACCCAAATCACAATAACAAAAACAAAAAAACAATACAAGCCTACAATCATTATTCTAAATGTTTTCAAGTCTGAAACATACAAATTATCACTTGACTTTACATTGTTTCAGGACTGAAAAATCATATTCCCCTCTCCCCCAATGAAGATGTTAAGCCCATTCAGAGCAAGGACTGAATTTCCTACCCTGTCTGTTGCCACCTTTTGTGCAAAGTACTGCACTGAGCCCACAAAGCTCACTTAAGTTTCCTAACCACATTCACTCAGGTGACTAGAGGTGACCAAACAACAAAACATCTCATCCTGGCTTAGGGAAATAAAATTACATTGGGAGAGGGTGAGGGGTGTAGCAAATGCGATGAACAAACCATAGAAAGGAGAAAAACTCCAAAGGGGGAAAGTTAAATCAATACTGAGTTAACTGCTATAAAATGGTGTTGCAACCAATTGAAACATTGCTGTATCTTTTAAATATATTATGTAAGACCTAGTGTTAAAAACCCCAAAATTATAATGTACTCTATCAGTAAACACAAACTCAACATTATAGACCAGCCAAGACGACAATTTGAATTGCATAGGAAAAACCGTGTGTGTAGAAACTATTTGGAGGCAGGTTAAGTGACGTTTGAGAAAGCAGTGGTGTGTCTGTTTGGAGGAGGGGCAAATGAATCAGTGTTTCTGGCAGAATCTTTCCAAGCATTTTAGGAACTAATCCAGACTGTGACACAGGTTTCTATCTTTAAAGCAAATATTAAAGATTATGCTTTTATTTTAAAAGCATGGTAGCTTGGCTGTTTCAAACATGCCAACACGATCTCCCTCTGTCGCTTTTCCTTCAAGGGAATAATGATTAATAAATAACTAGAAATTTAGTTCCTTCCCCCAAATAAATTACAGCTGAGTGCAGTTGTCACTAGGACACGTGTTCCTAACTGCTAAAACACAGGAATTTACTGACCAATGCCTCCAAGAATTCTGGAAGAGATTTTAAATCCCCGTTCATCACCTTGGAAAACAATATCCATTTCTTGAAAGTTATCAGTTCAAGTTCAACACAACTCTGTCTGGAGTGGATTCTTGTCTGCCAAAATCTTTCAAGATTAAAAAGCAAGCTCTCAGCATGCTGAAAAACAAGGACTAGTCTTGAGTAGATCAGGTCAGGAGGGAGGTTTCACCAATGAGTTAAGACAACCTTCCTAGGAATTGCACTGTTCTCCAAAGTTAACACTTCCTTAAACTCAGCTCTCCGTATGTACTGATGAATGTCCCCTCCTGGGACATTTTAAAGTCTTCTAAAGCAGCCAACCCTTCCCCAGAGCGACCTGGCCAGATTCCTCTGTAAAGCTCTCTCCTTTTGATCCTTATCCCTTGTTGGTGGCAAAGAGGTCTCCTTACACTGCAGGCCTTGCAATTATGCACAAGGGATGGCCCAAGCCTAACTGCATCGGATTGGTTGTAGCACAACCGGTGAGTCCTAACCACGGAATGTCCCTAGTCCTTAGCAATCTTCTAGACTGCAGGGACTGCCAGCAAAGTCCCAGCCCTCCCGCGAGAGCCTCCCCCGCCCCCGCCCCCGTCCTCAACCGCCAAAAGAAGGCAAAGTTCTGAAGTTAAAAATGAAGCGCCATTCTCTTCAACAACGTCTTGCAATCCTGCTCTTCAGTCTCCTCCCTCTGGAGAACATCCCGGTCAGGGGACAACCTTTGAGCTCCCTTTTCCCGTGACCAATTCAACACGCCTCACCTCTACCCCAATGTTACTTACTTGTAAACAGTTCCTGGTCGTTCTTGGAAAAGTAATGCCCAAGCACCTCCCTCTGCACCGCCTCTCTCTAATATGCCCCTTCCCCAGGATCGGGCAACATCACCCGACCAGGATGTCCTGTTTGGCAATGCCCCTTCAACCCGACTCCAAAGGCGCCGGGCCAAAATCCTTCTCTTAAGGCTGACAGCGTTCCACCACCCCCACCTCGGCTATTGAGCATTATTTTATCAGTCACGCCTCCCGGCTGGGGGGACTCCCTCCTACCCCGCAGGGCCTCGTCCAGCAAAATAAACAATGCTGTCAAAGCAGGATAACGCTGGGCGAGGCTTCCAAACTCTGCATTCCAGCCTCCTTGTACTCCAAAAGCAGCAAAACAAGTCATAGCAGGGTCCTATGAGCGAAATTACTCTCCCAGGTTTCTTTCTAAAATAGCCTGGAAGACAGTGCCAAAATCAAACACTAATATGCATAAATGCACAACTTGAAAAAGGTAGAGGTAGCATAGAGAGCAAGGCCAAGTGTGGTCGAATATACTCGGGAAGGAGGCGGGCAGGAAGGAGAAACGTGGGTTGAGCCGAGAACCCACCACGAAGGGGGAACAAGGGCTTTTTTTCTCTTCGGGTGAGCCTCGTTTCCACAGTGGGCGCGCGCTGGATGAGTTGCGGGAAAAACTGAACGCGAAGTTAAGGTTCCCGCAGCGCGGACGTGCTGCGAAAGCAGTCTCCAACGGACTTTGGTGAAGCGAGGGGAAGGGGAGAGGCCGAAGAGGCCCAGCGTGGACATGTCCCGAAGGAATTACACAGGGCCGTGAGGGGCTCACAGGGACCCCTGGGCGGGCTAGTGGAGGCTCTGGGGGGTCGAGGGGACTCGCGGCGGCTGGGGTCGCGGCGGGGTGGCCAGTGCTCACCTCCCGGCGTGGTAGAGAACAGTGTCCCCCCGGGCGTGGTGCAATAGTCATGAGGTAGCTGGGCGGCGTCGCTGATGGGCACGGTGCGGGTGGGGATGGCGCGGCTCTGGCTGGGCTGGTGGCCACTGCCGGCGGACGAAGACATGGCTCTGGGCGCGGGCTCGAGGGCTTTGTCCGGCCGGGAGGCGGGCGGCGGCGGCGGGGTTGCGGGGCCCGGGCTGCTCCTGCTCCTCAGGCAAGCGGAACAGCGGGCGGGGCGGGGCGCCCTCCGCTCCCTCCTCGCTTGCTTCCTCTCGTTCCGCTCCCGCCGCCGCCCTCTCAGCCGCCGCCGCCGCCGCCGCCCGTCCCTCCGGCCTCCGCCAGCAGCTCCAGCTCCAGCAGCAGCAGCAGCAGCAGCGGCAGCCGCAGGAGCAGCAGCGGAGACAAGGACGAGCGGAAACAGGCGAAGGCGGGAGTCAGAGAGAGTTCAGGGTAGCGGGTCGACCGGAGGTGACGTAGTAGTCGAGGGCCTGGACGAAATTGAGGGGGCGGGGCCAAGGCGCTGAGTGGGCGGGGTCGTGGACGGGGTGGGACTTAACTCTTACAGGTGGCTGCCCAGATTTGGACGGGTAGTTTGCAGAACCCACCCTTAAACTTCTACGCCCATTAATGCAACAAATACTTACAGAGCACCGACTGTGTGCAAGGCACTGTCCTACGGGGACAGAGACTTTATAGCAGTAAGTAGGACAGAGCCTCCTTGCCAATGTGAAACTTACATTCACTTTCCCCTCCCCAAAAAATAGTTTCCCAACCGCTGAGTCCGCAGAGCAGCTGTGCACACTGTAATGACTCGTACCCACCCTTTGAGTGAGCGTCGGCTGCCTATTCGTCTGATTCCTGTGCAGGACTGTCATCTCTTCAAGGGTGAAGCCTGGGCACTCTTTGTCTCATATCCCCACCGGGCTTGGCACAGAACCAGCCTGTGATAGAAATTTGTCAAACTGTCTTCTTGAAGCGTTTGTGGAAGGTCCAGAGATAAACATTAGACACAGTGAAGAACAGATAGGTCTGGGGTAGCAAGAAGCCTTTTAGGTTTCCCATTAAGATGAGAATTTTTGTTTATCAGCTGGCTTAAACTATCCTTTACATATTAAAATGCCTCCCTTTTAACTGTCAAGGAACTTTCACAATTTATTATTGTTATTAATTGCCAATTGAGTTGATTCTAACTCATAGAGACCCCATATGTTACAGAATGGAACTGCATCATAGCGTTTTCTTGACTGTAATTTTTTTGTGAAAACAGATATCCATTCATCAGTTTCTACATGTAGCATTCAATAACATTGGTTACATTCTTCACATTGTGTCACGATTCTCACTATCTCTCCCCATATTGTCCCACCACCATTGACTTAGACTCACTACGCTGCATAATTTTAAGAGAAGCAGATCTCCAGGTCTATCTTCCCCTGGACTCACGGGTGGGTTAAAACCACCAACCTTTAGATCAGTTGTTGAGGGCAAACCATTTGTGATATCCTTGTAAACATCACCACAATCAAGATGTAGAACATTTTCACCACCCCAAAACCAGAAGATTTCAAAGAGCAGATCGAGCAGACAAAGCCAATTACTATAATGAAATGTGCAAAGACCTGGAGTTAGAAAAGCAAAAAGGAAGAACACGCTAGGCATTTCTCAAGCTAAAAGAACTGAGGAACAAATTAAAGCCTTGAGTGGCAATACTGAAAGATTCTATGGGCAAAATACCAAATGATCCAGAAAGCATCAGAAGAAGATGGAAGGAATACACAGAGTTACTGTACCAAAAAGAACTGGTAGATCTTCATCCATTTCAGGAGGTGGCATATGTTCAAGAACCAATGGTATTGAAGGAAGAAACTGCACTGAAAGAATTAGTGAAGAACAAGGCTCCAGGAACTGAGGGAATACCCATTGAGATGTTTCAACAAACAGATGCCCCACTGGAGGCACTCACTCGGTTATGCCAAGAGATTTGGAGATAGCTACCTGGCCAACTGACTGGAAGAGATCCATATTTGTACCCATTCCAAAGAAAGGTGATCCCACAGAACGTGGAAATTATCGAACAATATCATTAATATCACATGCAAGTAAAATCTTACTGAAGATAATTTAAAAATGGTTGCAGCAGCATATTGACAGAGAACTTACAGTAAT